GTCTGTGGGTCAGGGAGGGGTCTGTGGTCTGTGGGTCAGGGAGGGGTCTGTGGTCTGTGGGTCAGGGAGGGGTCTGTCAGTCAGGGAGGGGTCTGTCGGTCAGGGTCGTCTGAGGAGGAAGCAGATGAATGGAGTTGCACACAGGAACTTTTATTTAAGATTTAAGTTTTTTTATTTCAAAGGTCCTCATGGCTCAGCAGCAGAAGCATAAATATTACTGTTAAGGAAGCTGATGATAAAGTTGAATAAAAATCTAAGTCTGATTCTGAAGGTAAATTAAATCTCTGACAGTGATCATTACAGTGTGGCTCTAATTCTTCACTTCACCATCTGTGTCACAGTTTCACGTCTCCAAAATGAGCGTACGCATGGGTCAGAGACGGCGTGAGGCACCGCACATTTTCACATCAAGTTTGGATTTTATAAATCACAACCTTGGCGTACAATGTGGCGTACGCAAATTTCTGGGCTCAAATTGTGCGTACGCCAGTTTTATAAATCCGASCCCTGGAGAGACAAAATTCAACTTTCCTGCCTCAAAATGCATTTTATTTATTTATAGTTATTTTACCAGGCAAGTCCTATTGAGGTCTCTTTTTCAATGGAGGCCTGGGTCTGAAGGCAAACTATTGTACATGTTTTGTGGGGTGGGGGAAACCCAAGTACCCAGAGAAAATCCACGCAAGCACAAAGAAAACATGCAAACTCCACACAGAATGACCCCAGGTCCAAACTGGGAATCAAACGCAGGGCCTTCTTGCTGTGGGGCGTTGGTGCTAACCACTGAGCCGTCGTGCTGCCAAATGAACCCATGCATTTAATGAACCCATGCATCTATATTTGAAGTGCATGGGTAATTCTGATGCAGTCATCCTTTACAAAACTGACTAAAATATTTCAGAGCATAAACAAATCCTGCTAAAACTAAAATCCAATGTAAAGTAATTTACTCATTTTCTACTTTGTTTTACTAGCTGTATGATGAGTGTAGTGATGGGTAAATAAGTGACTTCTGGAAAGAAATGACATTTGAAAGTACTTTTTGTCATAAATCAGCAGATTCATGAAAGGGCAATGTGCCACTGTAGATGCCATATTTTTACACAATGCCCAAAACTCATGAGTGACCATTTTTCTTCTGCATGTCTCTCTGGTAAAGCTGTCAATACAACCCACCAAAAAGATGGATCGAGTCGGCTCAAAAACAAAATGGTTGTATTTTTATTTATTTACTTCACTTTTGAATTTACTTTTTTTTTACTGACACATCTAACAAAATAAGTTATTCAACCTTTCAGCTGTTTAGAGCAAAATGTCATTTTTATTTCTTTTATCCTAAACGCCAAACTCTTTTTAAGGTCAGAGGCAAGCATTTGCAGAAGACAAMCTTTAGAACTGTTTACACAATGATTACTGGCAAGGCTGATTAAACGTGAGTGGAATTATAGACGGGTTACAGAACTGATTAAAAGAACATATTGAAAAATCACAACAAGTCTTAGTTATGGGAATAAATCCAGCACTGAACAACTCTGCAGTTTTGGCAACCTTTTGAATTTTTAAATCTCCAATCATGTGCAGAAATCATGAATAAGTGTCCTTGACTGAATTTATACGTTGCTTAATGATGTTGAAGCAATGCATGTTGCTTTGAAAGCTTGATTGTTGCCGCGTCGATGTAAAACTTTCGCAGGAGTGAGACGGTTGCAGTCAGCACGAGTGACATCCTGCATGGCTGATGGGTGATGCTCTGAAACTTATCAAACTTATCAGTGTGAACAAACTTCAACCACATAGTTGAAGATCCTCTAAAACAAAAATCAATTAGAATTAAAAATGGAAGTTAAACCAGTTGTAAGCAACATGAATATTTCAGCATAACTGCTCACTGTGCTGCACTCACTGAAAACTTCTAAAAGGTGTAAAAGATGTTGGCATTTCACCAATACTTTGGATTGCAGAGAAAAGTTGGAGGGCTTAATAGTCGAAAGTTCTGCATGACCTTGATGGTGTTTTTATCAATCAAGTATTTTTCTGTTTTGTTCACAATTTTCAAACAACAAAAGCAGATGTGAAAACTAACTGTAACGTGTCCTTGTGTCATCGAATGAGTGCCAATTACTTGTGTCGTCTCTTAAAGGGGCAATTTCATGTAAAATTTAATTTTTGGGTTTTATATCATCTTATAATGTTATACTCTCATAAAAAAACATGCCCAAAGCCTTGCTTTGACTCATTCATGCATGTTTGAGAAATCCTGCAGCGGTTTTAGGAAGCCATGCTGAGGAGCAAAACGACAGGTGGGGACCAGAAACGCCTTTTGGGACCAGAAACGCCTCTGGGACGTGTCTTTAAGCCGAACTTCCTCATGGCGGAGCACACCCCCTCCCCA